TAACATCTTTTATGTATGTTACTAAAGTGGTTTATCTTAAAATTTTAAATTAAAAAAATTTTGAGTTAGATCACTTAAAATAAATATATATACCTATGTAGGAACAATATATACATAAATACATTGTTGCCATTGGAATAATAATAATTAATTAAATATGGCGCTGTCGTTCTATTGGAAAAACCACTAATAACATGTGGTAAAAATTTGAATCAGAAACAGAGCAGATTCTATTAAATCATACTTTTGTTTAAATTTTGTGTATTATTAAAATATTATTAAATCAACTAAAACTTAACGGCTTTATAGAAATAACGAAATACATACATACTCGTACGACAATGAGTAATGCTTTTTGTGTCTTTATGAAAATTATTTCAAAAAGTTTACCGACAGCTCGGCTGATAGTATTTTTTTTAATTATAATCAGTAAATCTAAAGTTATATATTAAAAATCTAAAATAAAACTTATTTCGCTTTCAGCAACCCCTAGAACGTAATGTAGGTCACGTATATCACAATCACGTAGCACTCATATGAAAACAGAATGCATTAATCAAGCTCAATCTGTTTATTAAAGATACTACAAAATAGAACCAGTTTTATTGCGTTCTCATCATTTTTATGTACAAACGACAAAGATTGAATAAAAGCTTCTCAATCTGTTTATAAAAACATAATAAAAAATTTAAAAACAGAATGTAGTAGAATATATAAACAGGGAAAGTAATTAGATATCGTAAAAAAAAATATGATGTTAAAAATATATTAAAAAATATTTAAAATAAATTTAACGTGCATGCAATTTAATCAAATAGTAATATATTCATAAAACAATACCGGTAATACCACTTTTTGCAAAACATAGCAGAAAAGTATCTGTTCTTTTAAATAATGTTTATACCATTATGACATGTTAGTTTTTTATGAAACACTAATGTTATTGTAAATAAAATTCTACAAATTTCAATGAATTCTACTATTACTAATAAATCGATGGACAATATTTACACAGATGTATATTTATTATATTACAAAACACAGAGCTTAAAAAATATGGCTGTATTTTAATTTACCTTAATTATCTGAAAACCCAACTTAACTTAACCTAAGTTTTTTCTATTATTTATGTTGAGGCTAGTTGAGTCAGTGCACTTGAGCACTTTTACTCTCTACTAACTGAGAGGTTAGGTTAGTCAAACTAAGCAACAACTGACTTCAGATCTACATACCTTCCCGTTGAGCCTATCACCATACTGAGATTCAATAACGCGGTATTGGTAAGCTTGTTGGTACATAATTATCTTATAGGTATATGTCTTATGTTTTAGTAGATGACATAGTAGATGAGAGACACTCTCATTATCTTCCCGTTAGCTGCAACAGGTTTGATTGTGTTTGATAGTTTACAGTGACCTGTAAGTAAATCTACCAAAAGACTGATATCTCTACGGGGTATCTCAATGAAAACTTTGGATTTCCTTTTATCGAAACGTGACCAGATTGCATACAGATGCCTACATATCGTTGAGTCTTCTGATCTTTTATTAAAAATTTCAGCACAGAAATAACTCAGTAACAGTTTGCATGAAGCCAAATATTTAACTTCATTATTTAAATTAATTAATTGTCCATTACGTAGTACTTATATGGTATATATAATATACACATTTATATTTTATCTTGTGCAAACTTAAATGTCATTTATATTTCAAAAAAAATTTTAGAAATAGATAAATTAATTATTAATCTCATTTTAATAAAAATTTTTCAAAACATGTCACTTAGAACATAAATATAGAGAGAAGGATTTTGCAATAGTATTTATGAAATATATCTTTAGAATGGACAGTTGAGTGATGTTAATAGAAATAAATTAAATATAATAATTTGGGATTCCAATTATTTTTGACTCATTCCTAATTTCTTATAGAAGATATTCATTATTAATGCATATAGACATTATTTAATAAAGCTTCTCCCGAAGTAAATTTCTGGCTACGGATGCAGTATGGGTTTCTGCAGTTAGAATCACATCAGACTAGATATTTGTTATTTAGTTTTATTAGACGAAAATTTTAAATCTAAACAATAGTTTCTTAATGTTGTCACTGCTTTGAATGTACCACTCGTATATATCGATTAAGCCTCTATTGGTCAGAAAACTCGTAACCACAATGTTTTTAATCATTACTTTTGGATAATTATAAACGAATGTACATTATACAATATGAAAACTAATGAGAAAGTTTAGAGGTGTAGGTCAGGTATTAAGACAATAAAAATCGCGCATTTATATAAATAAAATTATCTGTTTTCAATTTATTTACATTTTACTTTTAATTAAAGGTTTTTCAAGTACTCATTACGATAAAATCGAGTTCTACAGTTAGTAAATGATATGCAAAAAAGTCAAAAGTCAAAAAAAAAAAAAAATATTATGTCAGAGAGAAAAAAGGTAAATATATAGTTATTAATATCAAAAACTGAATGCAATTTTTTAATATGAAATTATATCTATATCCATATTATGATGATAGTGATGAGGGGTTTATTGCAATATATATCAATCAGTAAATTACCTCCTTACTAGGTGTGGCTATAATGTTGCTTTGCGTGAGACTAAAATATGGACTAATATAAATATATATATAAAATTATACACAGTTTAGTACAATCCATATTTCTTAATTATAGTTAATAATACAAATAATTTTATCGTTGATATATCATTATAGACTTATTTTATTTAAAATATTTTATTATACTTTTATGCTTTAAACTAGTTATTTCATATTTCTTAACAATAATTAATAACTAAAATTATTTTATCGTTGATATATCATTATACACTTATTTTATTTAAAATATTTTATTATACTCATGTACTTTAAACTAGTTATTCTCGATATATTCCTGCTATTGTCAGAAAATTAATTTTTAAATAATATAGTATTACTAATAATTATAATTATAAAGTATTTGATTTACTTACCAGTGGCTGGTGCTCTACACAGTACCTCCTGTTCCGGTAGAGATTTATGGATAATTGCTTTTGTTTTCTTTTTGACAATAGACGCCGTTAAACTTTTCAATGGTATCTGTTCAAACATGCCATATACTTTATGACCGGTAAATGCGAGTACAAAACATATTAAGATCAAACCCAACAGCATGAAAGCATAGGCAAGAAAGTCCGGTATGCAACTGATTCTATCCAACATTTTTAAAAGTCACAACTTTAGCTTTGCTCTGATTCTTTCCAAAATTTCGTTGCTTTAATATTTTTTTCAATAAAACAAAATAAAATTTTTGAAACTTAATGAATTATATTTTTCATATATTTGTATTTTAGTTATGTAAAATTTTGAATAACTTCTGCCAAAACCAAACTGTCAGTCTCAGTAACCAAAGATAAACTGAACTCAGTAATGAAAAATTGTTGACGTTTCGGTAAAATATTTTTACTCGTTCGATATTTTTGTTCGATTCGTGTTGAGAGCAATTTTTCTATTTTTTAAACAAAATTTAAGCGAACAATGTGAGTGAATCCAAAAAAAGTCTCTTAATTTAAATCAATAAAGTGCAAAACATTTTCAACGTTTTAAGGTCAGTAAATTGTTAATAATAATAATATTTATTAGTTTATAATATCAAGTAAAATGTGTAGAAGAAAAAACTAATATACATTTCTCCCAGTTCCCCTTTTTTACCAGTTTCTAAGGTAGATATAATCTTTATTCAAAAAAAACACTAAATAATATAATAAAAAATCTTTCCTTTTGATATAAAAGTAAAACTTTTGAACTTATCCGAGAATAAGTAAGTATCTCACCAATTTTAATACCGAACTCTTTACTTTTACATATTTAAATCAATTATTAAATATAATCAATTATTATAATTAATTATTAAAAAGTTACTAATTAAGTTATATTATTTTTGTACGAGAACAAAATTTGAACCGAAAATTTTTTTGGTTTGACATATAGATGTAAACTTCAATGAGTTGTTCTTGTAGTCTGCCCTATGAAAAGTGTCATCAATTATAAACGATTTGACTGTCTATTCAAAATCTAGACATACTTAACAACCTTCCTTCGATTAAAACCCCTCAATTCCTTCCTTTAGTCGTTGCATTCCCTTGTGTGTTTCTAGAACTTTATATTCGAGTATTTTCTGCTGCTTTTTAACGATAGTATTCTGATTATATATCCCATCCATTATAAACTTTTTTATTTCATGGTTTTACGTAATAGTCATCTTCTATAACCACCTCCCTCATGATCTGATCCAACTATGCTTTGAACAATTCTCTTATTGAACCGAAATGTTGAAATTGGGTCTATGCAATCGTTTAAATGAAGTTGTTACTTTAAAAATAATTAGCTGAGATTATGTAAGAAACATTTGGTTTAAAATAACAGTTGCTAAAGAACAGCAACACGTTTTTAATTCCAATCACTGTTTATATATATTAAAGTTCAATAGAAAGGTTGCCGTTTTGCGATTTATAGGTTCAATTAGGTTAGTGCCATTTTATGCGGACAGTTAAGTTCATATCAAATGTGTAATATTTTTGATATCGAACTTGAAGGAAAAATCTAAAGATAAAAGTGGCCTGTACCATTTATATACCATGCACGACTCATTGATTCATACATGCCTACAGACTAAAAAGTCCCCACGTTTTCAGCTTAAAATCCTGGAGATCCCTATAGTACGACCAGTTAACGTATGCCTTTATAGGGCAGATTAAAATAACACTTAATGTGCTTTAATCTGATTGTGTACTAAGTATTTTGTCCGCTTTGACAATATTTATTATTCTAAAAATAATGCTCTCTAATAAGGCTCTACTCTTAAGTGTTTGTCAACATCTGCTTTACCATGAAAGAAGAGGTGGTTTCCCCGATTAATATGTTTCCAGATTTTATATAGTATCTACGAATCTCAATTTTATCTCGATAAAACTGGAAGTACGAATTACTTGTTAGCCTTAACCGGTATAAGGTACTAATCCTCGATTAATCCAAACTTTTATATTTGGAATTAGCGAGTGCATACATCTTGATTTTTGGGAATGATCCCACCAATGTTACCATTCATTAAGGTAATTGCCTCTTATTTTTATATTTTTTTTATTTCTTTTTTGTGGATATTGTAACATATCTATACACAAAAAAGTATCTTTTAAATTAAGGCACTTCCAAAAGTTATCAAAATACTACTGATAGTACAAAATTTACAATTTGAATTGACTTTTCTATATTGATAAAACGTCCGTGATAATTTATCATAGCATAACTTCACGATTTAGTCAAAGTCGATATTTGATAAAAAGAAAAATTAAGTATTGTTTTCAGAGCTCCTTTAACGTTAAGCCCACCGAATAAGGACAGTAAATCTTTCCTAATAGTCCACGACGGATTTCCTTATATATATTATCCTTGTAATATATTTCTGCTGAAAAAAATTATACAAAATAAACAAACTATACTACCATACTTATTTATTTGGCCATAACCCAGGCGCCTCTGCTGCGTGCGCACCTTCTCCAGTTCAGTACATCAAGTCCGGTTAAAAATGTTTATAAATTTCTATTCCTTATATTTCATTTACATATATAATATCATCATAATTTGTTTTTTATAATAATTCATATACACAATATAATATTTACAATATGAAGTTTGAGTTATGGAAGCAGAATTGTATGTAATTTGCTCTCAAAAACCTTAGTGCACTGCTTTTGGTTCGAGTAATAGAAAATTCGAGTTATAGAAGTTCGAGTTATAGAAGTTCGAGTTATAGAAGTTCGAGTAATGGAAGTTTGACTGTATATACAATTATAATTATATTACATTTGGATTTTATGACAAATATTTTTCAAATATTTTTTTTCAAAAAGATATTACTTAAAATTTTTATTTCTGTTTAAAAACATAATTTAATATTTTTAGAGAAAAGGTTTAAAATTTCATAATGGACGACGATATCTCTTCGGAGAATAGCGTTAACAGTATTTTGAACAATGAAGTTGAAGATTCAGATTTGAATTTTGCTGAGATGTGTGTTCAATCGGAATCCTTCATACACAATATGACTTTCCCTAATAATGAACTTCCAAACGGTTTTCAATACAATGGTTCGCAAGAATGCTTTTACAACTTAATTCCCAATGAAGCCTGTCCACAATCTTCTTCTTCCAATTGCAAGAATGATTTGAAATCTGTGGGATCCAATCCTTTTATAAATTTTTTGCGGGATTTCAGATTGGATCATAAAGATATGGCAGTTATAAACGCCGTACAATGTGGCGCAGCAGAGTGGAGAAATTTAGAAACGGCTACTAAATTGGCGTATTTCAAAGAGGTACTAGAGATACATAGAGATATTAAAAATACTTTAAATTTTTGAAGTTGTAAAAACTGTGATTTTCTATTTATAGGCATTTGTAGCCAACGGGGGAAATGTAGATGAAGAAGCATGTGATGATATGAATGCAAGTGGAGAGGAGCTTGTTGATGATAACTGTAGTGAAATGTTTAATGAAATAAGATCACCTCCAATTCGCTCTGCTGTTGCCAAACCGAAACGCTGTAAAAAACGTAAGCGTGGAAAGCGCGCTGAAAAGCGTAAAGTACTTGGTCAACCGGGACGTAAAGCCTGCAAACGTCGTTAAAACCGTAGCTAATGCGATATAGTATATAATAAGTGCGTTTCGTAAAATGTTTTTTATTTATAATATTAATATCTGATATTTTTAGATTACTATATCACAACTAAGAATATGAAACTAACAACTATTGCAGACTATCAATTTAAAATTCTAGTATTTAAAAAATCCTAATGATGTATATTGATACAGTGATTAACATTTTGAATAATACATTAAAATGGATTTTTTTTCAAATACTAAATCTATAATTGACAAAAACATTTTCGAAATAAAAGTGAAAAAATTGAAAATCGTGAAAAAATCTTGTTATTGAAAATGATTGAAAATGTTATATTTGCTTGAATAAAATTCTTTTTATATAAAATTTAATAAGCACTTAATTTATTATGTATGTTTTTTAAACTAAATTAACACAAAGTGTTGTAACTAAATTGTTCTTTTTTATATATAGCTTTATTTTAGGATTATGAGAATATTATAGTGTAGTAGAAAATTTTATTATTTAATGCATTCTGAATATTAAAAGCTACGTAGCAGTCCTTGTAACTACTGACCCCAATTTACATATATATATATACATATACCTTCTGCTCAAGAAGTATAGATTTTGTTGTTTGTTAACTACTCCTTAAGTCATAGACCTTTTTTAAAAATTTTTTTTTGTTATGTTGGTACACCCTTTCTAGATATATGGTACAAATTTGAGCGCCATCTGTCAATTAATTTGTTTACAGCAGTTGTTAATGTGAGATTACCTCAAGTGCATTTAGCGATTTTTACTATGGAAAATTCATGTTGTACGCGATTTTTTGACCAAACACGGCACCACTGTCATCGCTCAGGCACCATATTCGCCATAAAATATACTCATATTGCCCCTTCGTGGTAAGCGTTTTGAGTCGATTGAATCGCTAAAAAAGAATTCGCTGAAGGAACTAAAAGTCATACCTGCACGGGCCTACGAAAAGTGTATGGAAGATTGGGTTAAGCGTTGGCATATGTGTATCGCTTCAGAAGGAGCATATTTTGAAGGAGATAAAATAAATTTGGAATAAAATTTAAATTTGTGTGTTTCATTTACAAAATCCAAGTACTTTGTATATAGATATTTATATATATATATTAATTACATGCCAATGTATATTTATCACTACTTTTGAATTGGTGTCGGATGTTGAAACTTACTAGTGCAATTAACGAACAGCTATAAACTTTTTTTAATAAAAGACATATGAGCACATATGCAAGGTTATACGCCATAAATGTTGTACACCTATAGAATATTCAAGGTTCTTGCAATTGCGTTAGATCATCCGCACAGGTGTGGAAGAGAGCCAATAATGCTAAGTGTACAGGCAGTGAGATATTCCTTTAATAGTTTTAGCTGAAAAACACGAAATCGAATAATATTGAATTCACACGAGAATTCTGGTTGTAATTTTAGCTGTCAAAAATTTTAAACTGACATCTGAAATCAAAAAGCAAAAACATTGATTTACACGATGTATCATTGTAACTTGATTATTAGATATATCATATGTATACACTTTTTAACTACTTTCACAAAATATTTATTTACGATATATAAACTTACGATGTATACATGTAATAAGTTTTTTTTTTGATTTTGTATGAAAATATCATTCATTCCTCAAGTTTATGCTGAACTACCTAAGTTAAAATCAACATGATTTTGTAATTTTAACGTGAATCGTATTTAAAATTACGATTCAATTCTATTTTCTATATTCTATTTTCAATTTCATGTTCTATGTCTATGTTCTTGGTTTGCTATCGAAATCAGGAATAATTTGAAATGAGTATAATCTAGTTTCACGGGCGGTTTTATTTGTAATTTTAGCTATTA